TGTGTGTGTGTGTGTGTGTGTGTGTGTGTGTGTGTGTGTGTGTGTGTGTGTGTGTCAAACAGCATGAAAGTGATATTGCCATTACCCTAAACGCTTTACAGCCCCACGCCTCCTTAACGGAATGACTCAGGTGCGGCTAGAGAGAGGAAAGCCCCCATTTGCGTAATTTTCGCACTCGGCTGTTGATTTATTGCCCCCACTCGTTTTATGTAACCCAGCTTCACGTTAACAGCGCCCGCACAGACACAAACACACGCACCCACACACACCTGTGCAAACGACATCACTTGACTGTCAATCCCTTCATTGATCTTTCCACATGGGCTTTGAACAGCGCAGGAGCCCATATATCCTTAATTGTGGTCTTAAAAGACGAATCAAAGACACAGAGGCTTCAAAGTGCAGGGATCTTGTAAGGGGATCAGGCAATAACAACCAGAAGAGGGGAATATACCTGTTTGAACTGCGAGCTTAGATAATACCCCGACACTTGACACTTGAAGAGCCTCAGGAGCAGTTAATTCGTTATGTAAATGAACGATTTTTTTTATGCATATCTTTTTATTAATCATAACTTTGAACTCATTCCATTGGCCATATAGTTGTGTAACAAACTGTCATACTGGTCACCTCCACTGGAAATCATTGCAGACAAAAGATCTTCAATTCAACGTCTTTTTTTGCGGAACAAAAACAGATTGCAGACATTCATGATTTTTTAGATTGGGTACTTTCAATCAGACCAATGTAAAATCTGAAGATACATTTGTATTAATCAAATGTGGGATTTTGCTCGGGGTCAAACCAAAGCAGTGGCACAGGGGCCCATGTTCCTACCTATGACATTGATTTTGGCAGCTATACAGACACGCGCTCGTGCACACAAAACCCACACGCACACACAGCTGCCCCCTCCGTTGGGAATTGCGTTGATAAATGAGTTGAAGGTGCAGAGGTGTTTTGTGTGCGCGCTATACGCCGGTTATTTTGTACTGTGCCGATTTCTCCATGCCTGACAGGAAGAAAGAGTGATTGTGGCACCCTTTTTAATTATTTTACTGTTGCGCTCATCTTTTTATATAAAGTATATTATGTCGTGGATGTGGTTGTGTGCATGTGTGTAAAACAGACAGCTAAACTGAGTGGGCATCTATGCGTGTGGCGTGCTTCCTCCTCCCTCGCTTCATTATTATTTATGACCAGTAGAAAAGGGAACTTGTTTTTTTTTCAGAGGGGACAAGATCGATCGGAATTGCCGCAGGCTGATCAGATCCTGATGCATTGGATATCGACCTGGCCACGATGAAGGTGTCAACTACAGTGCCACATTTCCACTCATGCTTAGAAGGTGCATGTAAACAGTTCCCAGGGTAACATGGTTTGCTTTAGAATATATTTTATGTTGGTTTACGGTCCTGTTGGTTTGTGGCATGCTTTGGCCAGAGAGTGAAGCCAACCATAGCCAGCAGTCATAGAGGAGGAGGAGGCCCCCAGGGTTATCCCCCCTCACCCACACACTAACACACACACACACACACACACACACACACACACACACACACACACACACACACACAAATAAATTACAACCTAATCGAATGCCTGGATAATGAAATAACTGAATAAGTAGCCTTGAGGTTATTAATGCAAGTGGTGCATACATGGGTCTATGGAACTCCAGGGGTCCTTGAGAGACAGATTCAGAAGGTCCCAAAACGTAGACTATTTATTTATTCTACATGCCACTTAGAACATGCATGAGCATTTGTGATCTCATCACTTTCATGTCCCCAGACAGGCTTGGGGTTCAAAAATCAACCACAACAAAGGCTTTGTCCTTTATTGTGCAAACGTTATCAAATGAGGGTGTGCATGAGCTAATATATTTCTGCTCGGAGCTCTGTTATACTCGAGATTGACAGATTTTATACCACAGTCAATATTTAATACAATCTTTGTCAATTGTGTTAAAACTACAGGTAAAAATCGTGGGCATTCAACTTCTGAGGATTTTTCTTACTGGTCGGTTGTAATTTTGCAATAAATATTAAACATTTTTAACCAATTAGGGAGCCTATTAGTTACCATAATAGGCTAATCTTGTTTAAATTATGACCAAAGTAGAAATCAAAGGAGCAAATTCAGGGTGTAATACATATTCAACCCTTTAAAGGGCTTATTTGTACAAACAGGTTTTGATAGTCATTGTTTGATCTGTTTTCAACTTTTGGCTAAATTGTGCTCACAGAGTGATCCATGCTTCATGTGGGAACAGGTGACAGGCCCATGTGTTCGACTTCTCTCCTTTATTCTCTCGGCATCAAAGTCATAAGAAAAGCCCCATCAGGTTAAAATTAGTCTCACATGTAAAGACTTAAATGAAGAGTTCATCTTTGATATTCGTTTGATATCTGCTCTTTTGGCTCCTTTGATCCTGAACTTCCCACTGGAAATCAGATACTGACCCTCAATTAAAAAGTGAACATTGACAAATGTGGATATTGTTGGTCACTTATAGTTTCCCCTGTGTAAACCAATGTCTTTCAAGTTTATTCCAAGACTCACTTGTTATCACAGGTATTTTTAGCTAACAGACTATTAACAAATGTTCTTTTCTGACTGTTTTTTAATGTGATTTGCTACATTTTACATGAATGTCATAGCATGCAGTCAGTTTGGCGGAGTAGCCTTACCAGTGGTTTAAAGTACATTTACACAAATACAAGTTTTGGTTCTTGAGTATTTAAAATGTAAAATACTTTATAGGATACTTCTATACCCCATCTGAGATAGAAATACTGTAGCCTAGTTTTTAATCCATTACATTTTTCTGACAGGCGTACTAGTTATTTTGCTATATATGCAAAAAACCTGAACATTGAATGCATGACTTTTAGGCCATTTATAAAAGATTAGACTCATTTAAAATTGATAATCAATTCCTATGGTTTTAATTAGACTATTTCTTCCGCCACTGGTAGTGAATAAAAGCATGGTTGAAATATGATCTCCAGTCGATGAATTACTCTTCAGTTCACTGTTTACCTTCGACTGGTTTCTAATTGACCACGGTTCAGATGAATCACTCACTCTCACTTAGTGAAGCATCAAATCCTCTCCACTCTGTGTGGGACTTTGCACAGCGTCTACAGTGCCCGCACATCTCGCGAGGAAAGCGAGGAAACGCGATAGTTTTCGGCTGCCCGCAAAGTTATAATCGTTCACCAGCACAGCGGCAGGCAGCAGCAGCAGCAACAACAGCAGCAATGGCCGCTTTCCGCAGAGTGGCAGCGCTGGCCAGTAAGCTAAACCTCTGGTCGGCGGGGAGATACGAGCTAGTCGGTGGTCAGATGGCCAGAGGAGGAAGGACACGGAGGTGTCTGGCTGTCGGGATGTGTCTGGCAACGGGAGGCGCCGTGGCGCTTTACTTCTACAACGATATGCCGAGCTGCAGAGGCAGGAAGAGGATGGGGAGTCACAGCATCAACGGTCTGCTACCAGCCATCCCGACTGTCGAAGCCAAGGAGAAGGTAGGATGTTGCGCTGAGATTTGTAAGGCTGACAATAAGGCTGTGGTGGCACGTAGCGACATGAAAGGTCATTTAGCAGTATATAGGTGTTGTCCTCGGTGTTGACATAGAGGCCTCGGTGTGGAGAACTGTGGAGTAAAAACGACCACTGGGAGAAAAGGCAAAGAGCGCTTCGTGTTTTCACATCTCCTTCCACTAAACTTAGACCCACATCAGCCCAGTTAGACGGGCCTCCTTGTGTTTTGTAGCCATGGTGTGGCTAGCAGTTTATATGTTTTCCTCTCGGGTGGATGAACTGTGTCATTCATTCCCAGCACGCCCAGTGGAAACAGTTTACTCACTGTTTGGCTACAGGACGATGTGCGCACGCAGACAGATGCAGGAATGGCGCTCTCCGTTCGGGCTGGTGCTGAAATGACAGCAGGTTGAGGATGTCACTGTCAGCCAGGCAGCTGAGTGAATGGACTGATCACAGCAACATTTTAAATTCAAGAGTAACACTTTAAATAAAAGGCAAAAGAAATCCCTGAGTAGGTATACTTCCCGCAAGGCCTAATTATTCAATAGCTTAATTTAGTAGTTACTGTAGTTTAATGTTAAATGCTAAGTTGACAGACAGCTAGATACTATAAAATCAACCAGTTTCCAGTGGTGAAAACATGTACTTTGATCCATTAGATCCTTTAAGTATCAATACCACAAATTGAAAAGACCCCATTACAAGTTTCATGTTAAATTGACTACTTTTAGCAACAAAATACATGTTAAAATTACAAGCATTTCAGAAGTTTATATTATTATGTATACTATATTATTGTGTTATTAATGTTACATTAACTAATCACATAACATGTAAATATGTTTTTAAATAAATATGAGAATCTAAGACATAAAATAGTGCAAGTGCAGTAAATATATAGGGATAAAATATATGACGTATAAAATATAGAATAAAATACTGTAAATTTATGTTAGACGATAGGTTAAGTGAGGTACATCTTCGGCCTATATTTTGGGACACTGTCTATTCAATATTTTTTTGGCTTATAATTCACTGAGGTACATTTCTGTTTTTGTCATTAGTTATTTCAAGTTAAAGATTATATAATTGTGACATAATAAAATGATTATAGTAAAAGTGGTGCATCATATTTAGCTGGAAGGGAATCCTAGTAGTTTGTAATTGAAACATCACAGAGACAATGAAATACTCATTATATTCAGAGCACATTTACATCAATGATCAAATACATATATGTCATAAAGACTGTCTTAACTGTGACACCAGATGCTATTTGTTGATGTACGCATCAGCTGCTTCATGATCAGTAGTGATGTCCAGATCAAGATCTTTTGGGGCCAGTCGTGTGTCTGCCAATACGAAGTCTGATCTGATGCCTGTATTTACCTGTATGAGCACATACAAGCTACAAGCTGATTCATTTTATACCACATAACTTAAGAAGATATGCAATGTTAATTACATTTTTATCTCACACATTAAAATAAAAGCTTCTTTCTGTAGGCCTATTGAAATAAACAGACACCAGTGGTTTATTGGAGGGTAGTAAATCAATCTAGAACTTATGGTAAATTAAATCAATAATGTAAAGTACAGGTTATAAGGTTAGGTTGTCTGTAAGGAAACTGGGATGACAGAGGGGTAGCCAGTTTAGAAGCAGGAGAGACTATAGGAAGACAGACAGGATACCTGACTGGAGAATACGGTGTCTTTATAGCCATCCAACTTGGGAACAGGATAGCTCCTGTGGGAAAAGGGAAACACAGCCTTCTGTTGCTCAGTAAGTAAAGGTAGCCTACGCGGATTCTGAAGGATAAGGCTGAAAGAGATTGTGAGAACTAACCTGCAGGGAAGGAGAACAAAGCTTCAGGGAATCACAAGTTCTTACATGCTTGAAAACAAGGCTGAGATTCTGTAAGGAAACAAGAAAAACCATCTGCCAGCAAACAAGAGTGGGTCAGATGAGTTTCCAGAGACCTGCAATTGGGTGACTTACTATGCAAGATCTGCTTGCTCTGGGCAGCAGAAGCCTGAGATGGACACGACCAAACTTCCTCAGAAAAGAATCATGTCTGGATTTTGACTTGTGGCATACGGTGACTTGTGGCTGGTTGTGTGATTGGCAGTCTGGACACTAGAGAATCGTATGAGGAGACAATGGCTCAAAATTAGCACTTGCCACCTGCAGGGTAACTGTTGGTTGTGGCATGTAAACGTTCAGGCCACCCACCCCCATGGAAAATAGGTTTTCCTTATATTAAGAAATACTATTTTCAAAAATCACTTTCTAAATCATATATAGTCAGGGGTTAATGTTACACGATATATTCCATATTTCTGGAACCACTGACTCAGTTTTTACAATTCTTATGTGATCTACATAGATTGCAGAAGTGGCAAACAAAAAAAATAAAGTTGCCCGTTGTAATGTTCAGTGACCTGCCAGTGAGTGAGGAAAAATACTTTATTTATATAACAAGTAAACATGGGCGTTGCCATCTTGTTTTTTTGCAACCAGCAGTGACTTGAGAGGGTGGAGTTAAGTACAACTGAACGCAGAATAAGACATTCTTAGGCGACCATAATGTTACAATGATCTTTCACACTGTGAAAGGGTTAAAGTTAAAGGACGAAAACACGGACAACTCCCAGACCGGACAACGCCATGGTAACAACCTGTCAATCACAAGGTAGCCACGTACTGAAGCATACCCTGCTTTATGGTCTATTTGACTCTAATTGGGACCATCATTTACCAAATGAACATCATGCTTTTTTGAAGAAGACTTGAAACTAGTGATTGAGACCTTAAAGCCATGTTTACAATGTTTACTGAGGTAATAAATCAAGAGAGAAGTAGAGTCATTTTCTCATAGACTTCTTTGCGATCAGACTTATTTTTGCGACCAGAGAACTCGTGCCCTGGTGGCCATGAGAGAGAATGCAAGTTTAAGGCACTTCCGCATTGGCTTCACTTTTCAGACCCGGATGCTGCTGCCTGGCTCAGATGGACACATATGTATAGGACCTGTTGAGAATCTCAACATATGGAAAAGCCACGTAGCTTGGATACTGTTAGTCTCAGAGGCACAGACTCAGAGTGAACCAGGAGTTGAAGAAACAGCAACACACTGCTGGAAAATCCCGTGGCATTGATCTGCACTCAGTTCAGCATCAGACTTGTTGTATCACAAAAGAGAACTACTTGCTAATTTGTATTTGTATGATGCCTACTGTTTAAGAAACGGAGCTGACGCGTCAGACTCAAAAGCTGGGACCTTAGCTGGCTAGATTGTACTTTGATTTGACTGAAATTAAACGAGGAGGGTTAGGACAGTTTAGCTCTGAGAAAAAGAGGAATTTGCTAAAAGCTGCTGCTGTGAATGGAGGACACTGGGTTGCCTGAGGGAGAAGCACCTGGAGCATCTGCTATGCAGTCTGGAGAACAAAACTAGGCGACAGGAACAGGTTTAGTTGTGGCTATATGACATAATAAGAACCCCCCCCCAATTCATTATTTTTTTGCATTACTTTTAACATCATTTTGTGCAGCATGGCATGTGACCCTAGCTGCCTTTACAGAACTTTATAAACTTCATTCATTAGTGAGAGCCAGGGCCATGGGCGTCTGGGCTCATACACTTGATTACACTGCATTCCTATGAAGCCAAGCGCTCATCTCCTATTCATGCCTTCAAAAGCCCCCTCGGTGAAGGGAGCATCAAAGCTTTATGAATGAATCTGTGCGCTCATTAGCATGTTAGCTGAGCTGAGCAGGAACCTGGGAGTGCTGGGCCCTGCGGTCAAACAGGTTTAATTTTGGAAACCTCTCTGCTAATTACGCAGCTTCCTGCAGCACAATCTGTTGGCGTAGCAGCTCTCCTACGCTGCAGCTAATCAAGTTGAAGCTCTGGCTCCTCACAGAGAAAGAGTGAGATGCTAATCAAGTAGAAAGTAGTGACAAAGTATTCGTGTGTGTGTGTGCTTGTGTGTGTGTGTGTTATTGTACTTCGCCAGAGGTGCTGACTGTTTATAATCTCAGAGAGCTAAATGGAGAGAGTCGATGCCAAGAATAGATGGATCTCCTCATTATAGAGGTTCAAAAGCAGTGAAGAGGCACGTACAGTTTGAATTCTGCTGTCTGTGTGAGAGACCAGAGACTGTTCTCTTCACAGATGGGAAGTCACTTTCAAACTATAATTATTGGGGCACATCAACACCTATCACTGTGTGGATTATTTAAATGTGCTGGTAAATAGGTAATAGGTTTTTATATGTATCTTTATTATGGCCTACACTTTTCACATCAGTAACTATGATGTTCATATTTCCAGTAATGTCTTTTCTCTAGTCAACAACAGTAATATTTTGTTTTGCCTTTTGCTTTGATGTCTGCAGGAACGTCCGTTTGACTTTGAGGAGGGAGACGTGTACATGTCGTCCCATGAGCATCGCTTCCGCACGTTCAGCTCGGTGGAGTATGACGGGCAGCTCTACATGACTCCACAGAACTTCATCGAGTCGGTCACCATGAACGAACCCAGAAGTATGTTTGCTGTTCATATACTGTGTAGACACCACGCTCTCCTGGCCCAAAGTCTCTTTAAACTTCAGTCAGAAAATGGTCTCGAGTGTTACTTTGAGAGAAATTACATCCTCTAATTGCATCCGAGCCATTTCACGTTGACGTAGTTATACAGTTATTTTTATGACCTTGGTCCCATTTTCACCTGTACTCCAACCTGTGGCTTATATCTGGACTGTATCAAGATTTTGATGCATTACATTTACATCTGACATCATGCATTCAATTTCCCTTGACCTAAAAGTACAGACTCCATTCACCGTCTTACAACATCCATTTTACTGAGCATTTGTGTTGGTTGGCTCCAAATATACAATTTGGGTTATATTTCAGTATTTGTAGGCTTTATTTTGTTTTAAATATGCTTTTGATAACCAACTAAATTATAAGTGTTATGAGTTTGTAGATGGCCTCTGATCTAAAATTGATGTCCCACTATGGATCTCAGTGTCCTAACTATTGTTTATTTTTATTGAATCCAAGTTTTAAAACACTTAACTGTGTTTTAAGCATGTCTTTGCTGTTTCTGTCAGCCTGCTGCCAGTCGTAACAGATTAGTCCCGGCCAGACAGCCTCAAAGCAGATGGCTTTACAGCTATTGTTTAGTCTGTGGTTAATGTTAGTCAGACACACACACATACACGGACACACTCGACTTCTCAACATTCCAGTTGCTCGTATTTACCTTTTCTCTGAACCAGTAAATATCTAAACCAGACACTTAACTTTATTACAACTGGTTTCAAAAGGCCCCCTACAAGTTGAGGTTATCACAAACACCAAAATAGCAATTCCGTTCTTCAGCTGGTATGCGATTGTATTGCGTGCAAACTGTGCACCTGTATGTGTGTGTTTACATCAGCCCTGGCTCACTGACATACGATACAGCCGCACATACCCTCTCAGCAGCCGACATCCTCTAATGCCCCCTTTGAAGTTGAATTAGATGAACTTTGTTGTATAAAACAGAACAAAAGTAGCATGTGCTTTTACGGGGACATTCCGCATACTACAAAGACAAGCACGGGGCACTTTAGAAGGTACAAATGGGCCTGTGATGATGACAGTGTATATACAGTGAGTGTGTCTGTGTGTGTTGGTGTGTGTGTTTTGTGACTGTACTCGGCACATTAAGACCCATTTCTAGATCATACAGATGTTATCTGACCAAGCCCACCCAAACTCTCTTCTCCTCTTTCCCTTCTTCTTCTCTCCTCTTTTGTCTGGTTCCCTGGCAGACAAGAAGCCCTGGAGGTCCCTGGCCAAACAGGTGGGCGACACACTCTTAATGCTTCTTTCCTCTGCTGTTGCAGGCATCTGTTGCATGTTACATCTGTTGCAGACTCCGCAAAGTTCAAATCCCCATTTTTCTTTCAATGTAAATGTAGAAGGTTCTACGTGTACAGTAGCATTATTGTACGATTGCACATTATTATCAGTTTCCTTGTCACTATATGTAAAGAAAAAAACATGTGAAGGCAGATTTTAGTGGCCCCCACACTGCAATTAACTTAAGATTGATACATAGAGAAGACAGTGGGTAAACTATACAGAGCCGTCCAGGTGTTTACAGTGTGGCTACTACATCAACTAGCAGTCTTCTTATTCCCCACCTTCTCCGAGCGTTACCTCCACCAGTTTATCAGTGGAAAGTGTTTTCATGCATGCGGTACACATTTGCATTACTGCTCTCTGCAGTACTACAGAGGTTACCAATTTACCAGCAATGGAAGTGCACAGCTCATGTTGTGTTAATAAAAATAAATAGAAAATGGCACAACACCTACAACTTTTACACTTTTCACTTAATGGCAAGAAAAATAACTTGTTCTATACAATACTAGAATACATGTCAAGATGGATGGTTTTGTTGTGAATCCTTTCCCTCTTTTCATGGCATGATACCCTCACTCTCTCTCTTTCTGTCTTTGTGAATCTCATGGTTTGAAGTATCAAGGCGAAGCTCTGTGGTTGTGTGATGTATCTCAGGCAACTCACTTGTAACCTGTGTGTTTTTGAACCAGGAGCTGGAGAAGATGTTGTCAGAAACTCCCCAAGTATGGAGAGGATCCTCCAAACTGTTTCGCAACCTGAGAGAACGAGGTCGGAGAGAACACACGCATGCACGCACGCACACAAACACATATACACTTTAATAACACTGAAGCAATAGTTATCGGAGTAGTCAGATAATAACAAAGGTCAGTGAATGTCGGTGGATTTGACTATTACAGTTTAATCTGCTTTGTATATATATAATAGCTCCAATATAATATCGAAAATACCTATTTCAGTATAACTTGTGAACGGTTCAAAGTCTCTGTTGATATGAGGAGTAAGTGAGGACCAGTTCTTCAAATTCTACAGCATTCTTGCAGCTTTTAAGTGCACGGACACCAGGTTTTACCTGCCGATGTGTGACTAAATAGTGCTTGTGAGCTTGTGTGTGTGTGCGTGTGTCACTGTAGGTGTCTCTAATCCGAGGTTGGAGCCATGCTGTCCTTTCTTACAGCCAAACAACATGCTGAAAAAACTAAAAATAAACCTCCTCTCCTCTCCTCGCCTCTCCTCCTGATTGCATATTGGAAAAGAACAAATAATACAGCACCAAAGACAGAGAGAGAGAGAGGGAGAGAAGCTCCCCCTAATTAATGCGTTTGCATCAGCGTGTAACAGAGGAACCACACAGCCTGTGAGTGAATCCCCATAGAGATAATATAACCCACTCACACCGGGAGATGCTAAATATAACATTCCCTCTATTCCGCTACCATGATAGTGTTTTATACCTTGGAGGCTAATGTGTATGAGTGTGTCTTACATTTACACTTCAGTGACTAGTAACTAGGTCCATTGCCCTTATGCATTTTTGTTTAATTCAGTGAAATGGAGAGAAAAAACAGAGTCAAATAACTGAGAGGAAATGAAAAAAGGGAGATGGAGAGAATTAGAAAAGGGAGCAGGAAAAAGGAAGACGACAAAAAAAAAAGAGACACGAGGAGCGAGAGAGTGAAAATTAGACATAAATAAACAAGCAGTTGGGAGACGAAGAGAAACTGAAGAAGTTGTACAATGTAGAGGGATGAATGAAAGAGCACATAGAAAAATAGGAAAGAGAGAAAGCCTGTAAACCTATCCTAGGTCTTCATGGCAAGAGGAAGACAGTTATATACAGTGCATGTCTATTCGAATTGCTAGTGGCATACTGCCAAGACCACACACACAAACACACACACTCCATCAGCATTCAACGATAATTATCTTTACATATTTGTTTTTATTACCGCTAAACAACTTGTTTGTCCATTCACACATTTATTCAATTCAACTTTCTTACAATGCCGTCCCTCGTATAAGCTGTATATAAGTGTGTGTTTATATTATATATTTCTGTGTGTGTGAGTGTGTGTGTGAGTGTGATGTCAGGACATGCTCTCCTCTTCATGCCATGATGAGCGAGGACAGTTAAAATCCTTGGGATGGCTTTGTGGGGATGACAGAGCTATGCGTCAGACAAAGGAATGCTGTTGTCTATGTGTGTGCGTGCGTGCTGTAAAATATGTCAGTGTTGGTTGGCCATGTGTTACACTGACCTGGCACAGTACTTTGATTTAGAAACATCCATTGTATTCAGGGCATAGTATAAATAGTTTATGTGTACCCGTGGTTAGAGCATTATTCATAACAGAACAATCCCATTTTATCTTCTTAAAGACCTTTATCTCAGTCAGCAACAGTTATTGATATGGGCCTTTATGCCATTGTGATATTGGCTTGTATTGTACAAATAGTTCATTGTGAACTTGAGTGAATTTGCAAGCTGGGAAAGTCTGCTGTATGTGGGGAGAGGGTGCGAGTTGTTAGGCCTGATGTGGACCTGCTAATTAAAATGATTAGGAGACTGTGGTGTGGGTTCTCAGTGGGATCAGATGTCAAATCAACCTTTTATTTTACTGTGCATCTGATTCATTAGAACCTTTTTAGACTAACGTAACATTTTAAAATGTACAACTCATGAACATACATAGTAGTACCGAGCTAAATTCAATTTTATTTAGACTGATCATTTACCTTGGATGAGAATTACTACCGGTTGACCCATCTTTTTATCCAGCAGCATGTCACCAAAAGTATGCGGGAATTAACACGCAGAATGAATTTTAGAAACCTGAGTAGTTTCAGAGTTTATCTCCTGCTCTCAGGGTACACAGGGAAAAGAGAATTCAGTTCCAAACCAGCTGCTCCACACAAAGCAGCCGGGCATCAGGAAAACACAAGGCGCACACTGGTGGTTTAACTGGTGTCATGTTCACCGACATGCATATACACACACACACACACACACACACAGACACAGACATACACACATACATAGGAAAGCAGTCTCCCGTAACACTCAAGCGAGTCACCCTGAACTATCTGAACGATCAGACAGAAAGCGAAAAAGAGGGAGAGAGAGATGAGATGGAGCTACAAAGATTCCTAAATGGGCCTGAGGCAAGAAAGGATCACCTCCTAAACCATTTTTCACTTGCTTATCCAAACACAGACACATGCACATGCACACACACACCCCTACCAGCCTGCGTCTTTACTTTCGACACTTGAGGTGTAGAAAAAGAAACGGTGTGTGGCCAAATGGCTGTTGGCAGCTGAGCTCCAGAAGATACATTTTAAGATGCTATCTTCTTGAAAGGAAGGATTATGTGTGTTAGTGTGTGTGTGTGTGTGTCAGGAGGCCGACGGTCTTTGAACATCTGTAAACATTGTGTGAGTGTGTGTGTGTGTGTGTTGTATGTGACCTTTTCTTTAACTCCCTCTGTCTTGGTCTCATTACTAGGCATCATCTCATACACAGAGTACCTGTTCCTGCTCTGCATCCTGACAAGTGAGTCAATTCAGTCTCTCTACACATCCTCCTTCACTTCATCTCATCTTCTACCTCCTTTCTCTCACGTTATTGTAGCAGTATGCTGTGCTTTTTTTTGGGAACTTAGGTTTTTTTAACTAAGGTATATGATATGAACTATACTCAGGCCCACCCAGGACTTAATAAGAGGCAATTATGACAGAAATCCGGTGGTTTTCCCCTTCCCCTTGGGGTGAGCAAGAAATTGTGAGAGAGAAGAGGAAAAGAATACCTACCTATAACCTTTCAAAACTTGAATATAGACAGGAATGTGAGGCTTATTTGCACTCATTACTCTCTGAGAACATCAGTTTACTGCACTGAACACTGTTACTGTATTGCATTTAGATATGTTCCCATTACACATTCAAAATTGTTGAATATTTCTGCTCTTCTTCCCCTCAAAATCAGGAATTTAAGTATTTTTCTCCTTTGTAAATGATCAAGAAACCAAACTTTCAATGTTCAACATTCTTTGCATTATTAAGGGGGTGTTTTGCACACTGAGAGCAACCATTGATCATTAATCAGGAAAGGATTTGTGTTATTGCTTTTGGATTTAATTTATTTAATGTTAATTTGAGATTCTGTTGGGGAGATAACAAAAAGCCTTGGTTATTTTCTCACAAAAAATTATAAAAACTGTTAGTGATAACTGAAAACTAGTCATGTGCGCTTTGTACCTGCTTGAGTTTCAAAAACAAAATCAAATTAATATGTAGTTGGGCTTTCTTTCTTGGGTTTGTTCAAAAATGTCTTCAGTTCTCTGTGTTTATTTTCTGTAGCAAAAATGCGTTGTTATTTCTAGAATAAAGACATGAAGTTACCCAACCTTTATTTGATTTGGTAGATCAACATCTATACCGGATATCTAAAAAAACAGGTAGTGTGGTATAGAACAATTTAAATGTAGCTCATAGTCCATATAGATTTAACCACCTGCCCCATCTCCCTCCTGTCTAGCCTATATGCCATTATTTCCATGCTATTTCTAGATGTAGAATTGCCTTTAATACACACACACACACACACACACACACACACACACACTCACCCTATGTGCTCTCCTCTCTGTTCTCCAGAACCCCATGCTGGCTTCAAGATTGCTTTCAATATGTTTGATGCAGACGGCAACCAGATGGTGGACAAGAGGGAGTTCTTGGTGGTGAGTCTCTGACACTGGGAGAAAATCCATCCCATGACTGAATTAATTTGTTATTATTAACATCACGTGTCGCTCCCATGGCAAAAAGGACAAGCTTAGGACATTAAAGATATTGACAATAAGTGTGAAGTAACTATTGGTGAAACAGGGATTCATGTTTTTATGTACCTTCAACCCCCACTGACATAGCGGAAGCTGCTTTTTGTTACATTTAAAGCATTTAAAAGCTAATTTTCAGTTCCCTTTCTCTGAGGACAGTGTTTAAATGTTCTGAGTAGCCTATCTGTAGCATTTAATTAGATTAAAACCTGCAGATTTTCAAATGAAAACATTGCTGCAGGCGGGAAGTGATCAGAATCCCTGTGGGGTCTGGTGGGAGTGGGAGGTAACGGTTGATGATCCTGTGGGAGCGGGCAGATGCCGGATCGGAAAAAAACATTCCCACGTTGAGGGTTTGGCAAGTTTAATTCAGACTTTACTAAAAAACAACATCTGTAGTCAAATGAAGGGAATATTAATTTTAATATACCTCAAAATGAACAACGTCAGGAACTTTTGCGATCACACCTCATAAGTATTCCCGGAGATATCCTTTATAAATCACACTGCAATGTTTGGTTTAGTGCTGTATGTAACAACTGTCATTATTAATTCAAATGAATAACAAAAATTAATGAAAATATAGTTGATGCTGCTTTCCTGGGCCAGTACATTGAAAGTGAAATACAAAGAAACAACAACTTTCTCTCCAAATTAAGTAAAGTTATTAACACTTACAGCTGCAGTTTTCTGCCAGATGTGATTCAGGATTGATTTACCTTTAAAAATAAGCACAACTAGAAAACCAACACTCTCTTAATCACGTTGTCAAAAGGGCCAGTGCTTGAGTGGCATCTTAGACACACACGGCAAAGGTGTACAACTCAGTAAATGTTTATGAACATTTAAGCTTCATACAGGGCTTTGCATCTGGCTTTGAATTGTCACGAAGACCCTCATTGTCTTTTACATTACAGCTTCAGGAGATCTTCCGGAAGAAAAATGAGAAGAAAGGGAGGAAAGGAGATGTTGACAAGTCAGCACAGCTGGTAAGAAAGTTGGTAACGCAGGATGAGGGCGTGTGTTTGTGTGTAAGGGGAGGTTCATTTGTAAGGAGATACAATTATGTCACTATAAAAGAAAGTATTTGTCGATATGGACTTTAGTAATGCCGCTATCAGTGGGGTTAACTTGAAACAAAAAGATCCAAAATGTCCTGGAAGTTAATACAACAGTAAAAAGTAAACAGCACTTTAAAGTTACTTCCCTCTTAAAATGGCATTTCAATACATCCATGAGTGTAGAACAACACCTCTGACATGATTGCTGTGTCACACTGTCCATGTGGATGTATTGAAAATGACACTGACACCATCATCTGTGTTTATACAGGTATTAAAGTTAGCTAAACCCTTCATGTAACCGTATTTGATTGCATGCTGCCTTAAAGAGACTGTTTTTGACAATGTGCTATCTCCTCTGTTTTTACTGTGTACTTGTTATGGGTACTACTTCCCAAATGGATCCACTCTTGAAAGAATCTGTTCACTTCTGGGATTTAAGTTTTGGAGCAGCACAGATCACATTGCTTTACTACACTGAATTATGTTTTTCATGTTTATATCTGCCGATTTGTTGGCTAACCGTGAAGTGTAGTTTTAAAAGGCTGCATGAATTAATGTCAAAAAGAAGAATTGGTCCGACCAGGTGAATATTAGCTTCTTACAAACATATCAGTACTGGCACACGTATTGGGTAATATCAAGACATGTCAGTGTGAATGTGACACTTTTCCTCACACACATACATTTTTACAAACCATCTGTGCACAGTGTTGTAATGCAAAGTGAGTGTTGTTGTAAAATGTGATCACAGATGTGTTGAAAATGACTCGTCCCTCTGCAGAGCGTATCCACGGCCTCTCTGCATGTACTAACATGTCTTTTACCTTCTCTCTTCCTCCCTCCTCCTCTGTGACTGCATGCTCTGTCCTCCTCTTCCACGTGTCTCTCTCTCTCTCTCTCTCTGTGTGTGTTAGAGTATGCAGCTCTATGGATATCAGGTTGCCCCCATGAACAGCGTATGTATCCAAAATCGCAAACCTTTAGTCTACTTTCGGTTCATCTTTAACCGGTTAAAGAAATTGATGGAACCTTCACCTGGTTCTTGCTTAATATTTACTGTAAAGACACACAAGTGGAATCAACCTTCTCATCTATTTATGAAAATATTGACTGTTCCTTTAATTTCCCCTCAACCTTTTAAATATTGCAATTCGCACAAGACATATATTGCTGCATCTGTCAAATTACAGTCGTGTGGTATATAAATTGATACAGCAATGTATGGGGGGATTATTAGGCATATAATAGGTTCATGCTAGAGGCAAGTGTCACTGACAGATTCTCCTAATGAATCTCATAATCCAACACCAGTTTCAATACCTGCTGGGCATCTGGATAATCAAGTCAAATTCACCCTGTGTTGTTGGGGATATTTTTCCTCATCCTGGGGACTCTTGGGGTTTGGTGGGTGTAAATGTCAATTATATTGGGATACTTAGGGTTCTGTTTAATGCATCTGTCAGCCACTTTTGTGTCCCGACCTGGTCTTTGAAAAAGCCTTAACCCTGACCCAGTCCACATGATCCTTTGTTGTCAGTAAAACGTACACTGTAGACTTCTTAAAAGGATGAATGGACAGAAAGAATAAGCGGGATAGAGAGAGAGGCTTCCTTCAAGACAGACTGTCCATCTGTCAGGTCAGCTGGGTGATTGATCGAGGAAGGATGGCAGAGGGTTGGATGAATGGAGAGAGGGACGCGGCAGAGGAGTAATAGATTCAAGGGGTCAGGAGAGATGAACTCTTACAAAAAGAGAGTGATGTGATTTAGAAAGACTCGAGGCACTCTAAAGCGACCAAACACAATCAGACACTGACCATTCAAACTGTTTTAGGACGCATGCTGTTTGTTTGGCAGTGTGTGTGTTCCTGTTGGGGGTTTTGTTATTGCACAGGAGAGAGCAGGAGATTTTTTTTACTGTGGGAGGTCTTGTCTATAGACAGAATGTTGCTTCTATTGTGTGTGCTGCACAGTCTCACTTACAGGAAGAAAGCGAACAGGTTGTCTGCTGAGTTGTATGGCATCCAAAATGTAAAATGTGTGTCGGATTTGGCGGCATCTAGCGTTGAGGTTGCAGATTGCAACCAACTGAAACTTCTCCCACATGCCGAAAATAGCGAATGGCCCTATCAAAAGCAAGTGTTAGGTTTGTCTGTTCTTGGCTACTGTAGAAACATGGTGACCGGCTCTGAGAAGAGGGCTTGCTTCTTATATAGATTTTAAAAAATGGCTCATTCTAAGCTAACAAAAACTATTCTTATTTTAGGGTGATTGTAAGATAACATACTCATTGTTCTTATTTTCCATTTCTGCCAATAGATCCATCTAAATGCTACACACTGTTCCTTTAATAAAATGTGAAATTTTTTTTACATACAATTAAGACTATCTTGTTAAATTAAAAAAATTCTTTAGTTAAAAGTTTAATTTAAGAAAGACATATTCACTTATCGGTCACACTTATTGATACACATTTAAAGCTGGAAACCAAAATCAACACAATGATAACAATGGAATTTGGACGCTGCAATACTCAAATGTCTTATAGTCTCCTGAAGTTACAACGATAACCACTGAAGGCTTCCCGACCTCAGTGGTAATGAATATTTACTAATGGAGGTGGAATACAGTGCAGCAAAAAAAAACGTCAGGGGGATGTTTACTGTCCAGTCTCTATAAGGACTATTAGCATTTTTTCTTTCTCTCTATTTCACACACACACACACAGTCCTCATCCTGTCAGTGTTGTGATGGATAGCTGCATTGTCACTGTGAAGTTAGTAGCGGTGCAGGGTCATTTTAAAATGGCTGCTACTGCGTTCTCCCCGGAGAGACAGACGAGGTGGGTGGTCAGGAGCCCAGCAGCGCGGTTGTCTTTTGTAAAGGCCGGACACACTCTGAACAGAAGCAACATGACAGCGATATGTTCAGCTGGTTCACTTTCATAAATATATATTATAAATGTTATAGAGGAGAACTTGCTTTTGGGTGGATGAATTGTATTAACTATCTAATAATGCTGAATGTGACACTGTTAATTAATATGCAGTATTTGTACTGTATATGTAATGTGGGGATTTAAAAAATCTTCAGGAAGTCACCTTCATGAATCTGTTTGTGTATATTGAGATATGATAAAGTGAATATTGGAAGCTGAAGTTTACTTCCTGAAGTGGTAAAGTTGTAGGTGAACTGACCCTGGTCCTGCTTGACCGCTCCTACAGGTGCTAAAAAAAGACAGTCAGGAGTTTGTGGCGCGGAGTTACTGGGACGTTCTGAGGCGAAGCGCCAGTCAAGTCCTCTTTTCTGACCTGGCGGAGGTACACAGATCCTTCTGTCCTCTGTCACTACATCCCTCCGTTCTTCCTCCTTCGCTCTTCCTCTTCAGTTCCCTGTCATAAATGTTGCTCTTCCAACGGGCCCCGTAGAAGCAGAATAATGTAGCCGCATCAAGCCTGGCCAGAATAAGACCAACAATGTTTACCTTCAAAATAAAGCTTTGAAGGCCTAATCTTTGAATTCTGCAGCAATCATCCTAACTGCTCATATTAATGTGGACCGAACGAATCTTTAAATGCTGTTTTTAATTTTTGTCATGGCTAAAAGACAAGAAGGAACCAAAAATAGTTTGTGGGCTTGTTGTAGAAATCACCATTTGATCAGCACTTTTATTCTGGTTTGGCTCGATACTGATCATTTCTTCCTTTCTTTCCCAAACATTACATAGATTACCATCTGCCATCTCACTGTTTTACAAACCTTAGTACAGAAACTAGTGTCATTCCTCCATTCCCTTTCCCCATGTGAGATCATTTCTGTTTGGATGAGCTCTAAAAGACTTCTCTGCACTAAACACAATATGTTCATCTAATTGATCTATTCTAAAACCGAAAGAAAATTATGGGAAAATATTTCTTTCTTGGGATAACTTCAGGCTCCTCCAAAGTTCTTCCCCATTTCATTGTGTCACTCCGTTATTCCTAATCATCAAATACTACAATAACTTGTTTATATTTGTTGTTCATTCTGATTTCTAAATAATTTAATCCACTATACTGATGTGACGGTATTGATCCAATAACTGTAGTTGACAGATACTGTAATGTGCGTATTCTGATAACCTGTTCTGTTTCTCACCTGCCTTCTGTCATTTAGTCTCTTTGTTATGCATATGTGTATCTGTGCCTTGTCATCTGTGCTGTGTTGTGGCTAGTGTCGCAGCTTTGGTGTCAAATCATTCTTACTTTACACCTCAACATGTTTTAATGAAACTGGTGTAATGATAGGAAGGCTGACTGCCGAGCACATATACAAATGCCCTGATCATTATAGCACCACACAGTTTAATTTTAGTCATTTTGAGTATAGTAGTAGTATAGTAGTTCTATACCGCTTCAGAAACTCAAACCAAATGGTGACCTAAACTATACCTGCGGCTAGCAGGCTCTAGCTCCAAACCACCCTCAAAAGCATCTACTTCCATTCAAGTCATTTTCGACAGAATTAATAGAGAAACAATACTAACAGTCTACAGCGATGCCAGCAGCTTTATGGGGCTGTGCGCTTAGCAGTGCTTTGAGCTAAATGCTAACATCGACACACTAACATTAATGATGCTGACATGTTAATGTTTAGCCGGCACTAAAGACAAAGTACAGCTGAGGGGAATGTGATTATTTTTGCAGGTATTTAGTCATAAAATATGTTTTCACGGTGTAAAGTAAGGGGATCACTTAAGTTATTACTATTCAACCTGTGTTGATTATAAATGTCTTTACAACATTTCAAGGCAATCCATAGAATTATTGCAAAGAAATTTCTAAAAAACAAAGACATGTGGCAGTTGAGAAAGAAGTCAGGGGATCACCAAGGGCAGTAGGATTCTTCCTCTGGGGACCATGAATATCTATAAAATTGAGTCGCAATCCATCCGACAGTTTCTGAGATATTTTAGTCTGGGCAAAAGTGGTGGATAAACCAGCTCTTTTTAGCAAAATCTCACATTTTGGCTTGTTCATGCACAATGTAAATTGTCTTTCCAATATGTCCAACACAAGGTCAAGTTGCTGGTAATGATTACTAACAGACAACAGCGCTAGCAAGCTAAGTGACTAATGACAGGCTATGTGCTGTGGTGGCAGCGGAAGCTGAGGTGGAGATAATGACAGTGGCGCGAAATGGGACTGACCTTGTATTTACACCGAGCAGCCTTTCATCTTCCGGGATGTCAGACGGACAGAACAGACGAATCAGACAGAGGGGGGAGGATGGGAGGAGGGTAACAATAGGAAGACAAACAGGGACGTATAAATAAATGTAACAAAAAGTAAGACTTGGGTACACAAATAAAAGAAAAGGGGATCAACTAGAGAGAAAAAACATTAGAATTGTAGCAAACCTAGATCAGATAAGTTGAAAACCTGAGGGCGAAGAAAAGATAAAATCAGAGAGAGAACAAACAGGTGAGAGAGGCCCAAGGAAGATGACACAGGTCAGCGGGGAGAACAAATGTTGAGGAACAAAGTGGGTGGGGAGAGAAGAAGTTCGGGAAATGCATTTAGGGGAAAAGAAAGAAGCAGGTTGTATTTAGGGAAAGATGTGTTTACTCAACAGATTAGTCACCATTTGCTTTTGTCTGGAGAAGGAGGGACTGACTGACAGGCTGAGAAGGAGGGAGGAAAGGAAAGAGCGAATCACCTCTATATTTGTCAGGTGTGAGGAAAAAGGAAATCAGAGCTGGATAAGAGGGAAAGAAGTGATAGAAGAAGGAAACAAAAAGAATGAGTGAAGGTGTGAAATAAAAATAAACAGGGGTTTGCAGGGGAAAAGAGGAAGGTGTCGTTGTTTTTACCCTGCAAAGTCCGACTGACTGACTACTAAAGTCCGACAATGAGCTCTTCCTCCGAGGTATATTACTCACAGATAGGGAGGGTGAGGAAGACCGTTTAGTGTTTACATCAGTAATTACTGTTTTTACCTTCAGCTTCATGATCAAAGTCTGTTGAGGCTCACACTCACACAGATGGACAAAGAGACACATGCATATACACCAGGTGTCGGGCCTTGTGGGCGGAGTAACCATTACGTCTTCATGGGGATGATGAGCTCACACTGGTGCTGCCACACTTCCAGGAATGATAAGCTTGTTATGATCCGTTTGGCATTACGTCTTTTTCGAGGTTAGGCTGACGTTCGCTCTGCCAAAGACAGAACCAATTATAAAATTTAGCAAAAAGGGAGAAAAATTCTCACAAATTCTGTTCAGTGACAGAGAAATCCTGCCTGAGAAGTTTTTTGGGTCACTAATCAAACATTTTTTTATATTAACAATGGATCAAATCATAATGTGAAAGGTTTCAGTCAGTGATGAACCCACAGAGTTTACCACTCGACTCTGCAGTTTCCCTTAGCTCTACAAAGTGCTTTAGCATCATTCAGCTCATTGTCTTGGCTTGATGGTCCACAGCTTGACTGTTTTGGTCTCATCAGCCTTGCTTTCAGCAGCTGCAGGCAGCAGTTTACAGTGAAAAAGCTCAGATAAAGCGACTGTACACAACCTGCCAGGCACCAAACAGCAGGCACAGGGACTCGCATGGTGAACATAGTGGAGCATCTACCAGCTAAAGAGACGGACATTTCCCTCACAAGTTGCTGGGGAACAATTTTGGCGTTCAGACACACTAACTCCAATTCTTTTTGACAAATGTATTAGGCGATAATATGTCCATGTTGTGTTAACAGCTTGTTCTGCTGCCACCAAAAAAATCGTTCTTTCTAAAAAATATTTGATTTCATTGATTTTATAGATTTCCCATGGTGCACAGCATCCAAATATCAATAACATCTCTTGTTAGTTTGCTCAATTCAACTGAAATCAAATACTACAACTAAAGTGCACTTCACTCAATATACTGTTTTACTACGTGAACCCATGTAATCTTAAATCACCTGACCAACTGGATTTACACTTAATTAAACCTCTTTTGGATAACTAAGTCACTGCAACAGGGATTAGAGAATGATAGATTCATTAGGAATGCCTTTATTACATGTATCCATGTTCAAAAGATGGACAAAGGGATTGGCAGTAAAGTGCCTCTTTATCATTGAAAGAGCAAAACAAACTTTAAGATTATGGGAAGAATAGGAGGGATATGGTGAAGGGAAGGAAGAGAGGCAGAGAAACACCACCTGGATGCTGTCTAGATGCATGAACAGCTCATGTGTCATAAAGACATCAGTGCGTCAGATAAAAGAGTAAAAAAAAAAGTATTTTTGTCCTGTTTGTCCGTAATCAGAGGCTTAATGAAAAGACCCTCAAATAAGTGAGACACCGAAAACAAGACAGTGAAATGACACGTCTGTAACTGTTTCACTTTGTCTGTGTTTATCTAAAAGAAGTCTTCCTAATCAAAGACTGAAAGACCAGACTGCAGCGTGAATCAGAATTTTACACTAATGTGTGTGGTCCTAAAACAGGGTTTACTTCTACTGCTTGTTTCCCAGTAGACAAGGTATGGACATATGTAACCTGTGATGGGCGATCCCAGGTTGTGTGTATGTGTATCAATCTTAAGGGTTTCGATACAAAAAGGAGGAAGAACTGATCTATCAAATGCTTTACATTTTAGAAACTAATGGAGGTTTTGGCAGCTTAACAAAGCCAGTAACTTTTGATACCAGTTTCACCATAATAATAGAAAAACATTCTCCTGATTTCCTTGAGACTTGTCTTTGGAACGTAACTTGAACAGTAAACTATGTTTTGTCTCCATCAATTATCCCTGCACCTCAGTTATAGTCATTTGCTATCTTTTGAAAGAATGAACACACATTTTTGTCACAACCAACAACTACTCTTGTTTGACATTTTCCTCTTGTCCCACGTCGGATTTTAGGATTTTACTCTTAAGGTAGAACCACGAATGGCATCGTGGCAGTGATGATGATAATTATGTTGATGATGGAAATGGCATAAATGCTTTTCCTCTTTACATGAGACATGAGATTCCAGCCAATCTTATGTCTGCATATACCTCAGCATGGCAGTGGATTGGACAGGGGGGGGGGGGGGGGGGCGATGGCTTGGGGGGGGCATGGCAGGGAGAGAGAAAATAAGATGGCCGTTTGACGTCCTCTCTTTCTGCACCGACGCTGGCTGAGTCTTTTCTGGAACTGCTGAAAAGCACAGTCACCTTTTTCTGAGATACATATGTATGTCTGGGAGCATAAACATAGGAACACACTGATATACACATACTGTCTCTAAAAGGCTCACGGAAATGCTAAGCAACAGATTATAGCATGACAACAAACTTGTTGAATATGTTTCACATGACCAGGATCATTCAGTAAACATAGACTAAGATTGAAGAACATGTAAACAGAGTAAATATATAAAAAGGGAGAAAAAAAAACAAATAAAACAATGCAAAGTTGCAAACACGGCACTATAATTCTCGTCCGTTGACGGAAAAAGGTGGAATCGGCTCTCGTTCTCTGCATTTGTGCTTACGTGGGTTTCGTTCCGTGCTGCTGTTGTTTGTGATTTAAAGGTTGTGTACGGGTGTGTCAATGTGGCATTCGCAGAGAAGTGCATGGGATGTGGTGACTTTATTGTGTCTGTGTATGTTTGGCAGCTTAGTGTTATGTGTTTGTCCGTCTCCCCCTTAGTTGTTCTTCCACATGTGTTCTTTGCCTCTTCTCTGTTTCTCTCACCTCTTCTGTTTTCTCTCTGTCGACAACACTCCCCCCACTTTGTTGAACATTTGCACGACTCTGTTTTTCATTGTGTCCCTGTATCTTTTTGTGTTCTGCTACCCTGAGCACTGGTCTGTGTTTCATGCTGCTACGGCAATACTCCTCGTCAGTCTAGGCAGCATGGAAAAAAATACCTCTCATTTCATTTCCTTCCTTTGCTTTCAAAAACCAATGATAAGGACTATCATGACTGTTTTCTTTTATGTTAATTTTACCTTGTTTCCCCATTTTACCTGCTCATTTTTATACTTTATTGTACTGAAAGCTTTGATAGCGACACGTTTCCACCATGTTTAATGAGCTGAACCCGCCTGTTATTCATCAAAGTGATACCCATCCCATTTAAGAGGTTAAACTTAAACATTGTTGCTGCCTAGACTGGCATGTTTGACGTCACGATGGCCGCTGACTGTTTGTCTGAGCTGATTCGTTTGATTGACAGTTTGTTGTTGCTCCTCTGGTGCACGTTCTGCAGCAGAAACCTGCTTCCTGCTAGCCTGGCACCACGGTTGCCATGTTTGGATTGATGATGGACTCGTCCCGCCCACTGCTTCTCCTTAGAACACAATACTTGGTGTTTATTGATTAGTCACTCATTGATCCTCTCTCTTGCTATCGCTTCTCTGATGATTCTTAGCGAGCAGATGAGAGTATCACGATTGACACCACCCTTTTGGTCCATTTCTTTGGGAAGAAAGGGAAGGCAGAGCTTACATTTGATGACTTCTACAGGTACTAAACAACATACAGTGGACAGCATGAAATACAGGCCAATGCTGTAAACAATATTAATCAAATCACAACATAGTAACATGTTCATTTTGAGTAAAATCTATTTTTTTCTCCTTCCCCTTCCTTACGGTTTTTCAGGTTTATGGATAACCTTCAAACAGAGGTGTTAGAAATTGAGTTTCTCACCTACTCTAAAGGGATGACCACCATCAGCGAAGAAGACTTTGCCAAAATCCTGCTTCGCTTCACCAATGTGGAAAACATCAGCGCCTACCTGGAGAATGTCCGCCATTGTATACCCGATGAGAAGGTACGGTACAAACATGCACGCTGTTCTTTAACGGGGGACGAACAACAGGCGAATCAACAGCTGTGCAAAAGATTGAAAATACACAAAATCTTAATTTGAGTTCATGTTGACTACTTGTGTGTGAATGGATCAGCACAATGTAAAGTCATTCTGTTTGGATAATGTTGGATAAAGCTACATTAACACTATAATGTATGCTGTAGTTTAAAAACAATGTTTATGATAACAATGAAAACCAAACATCACACCGTTACTGCCTTTTAGAAATCAATGGCTCCCATAAGGGGGTCAACATAATCAGTTTACAGTTTAAAAAAAATGACCCTCTGTGTAATGTGGACTTCAGCTTCAGTAACTCAAAGTAGAAATATGGAGAAAAAATACAAAAGGGTTTTGACCAGGATTTTGGATCGTCGTTATCTTCTTTCGATAACACCAGATCTTTCCTAATCCTTTACCGGTTTCATTTCTTCTCCTTGCTTTATGGGTGCTCCCACCCTCCAGCCATCTAGAGCCTCCATCATTTCCCACCACTATCTATGCCTGAAGCTGTTGTGGCTCTCCACACTTCAACGCTTCACCGCCTCACACGACCACACACACACACACACACACACACACACACACACACACACACACACACACACACACACACTTGACTGCACTTCCAGCTACATGTGAATGTCTTATCTATCTATCTATCTATCTATCTATCTATTTACACATTGGCGTGTGGTCCTTATGCAACCCAACTCTATTTCTGTCCCTTCCTTCTTTCCTTTTCATGCTGTGGAAGAAGCAGGAGGTTGGTCTCGGCTTCGTACAATACGCAACCTGCAGTTACAATCTGTCAGTCTAATCTGCTATTTAGTTACTTCTTTGTTTCTACATTTAAGGGAAGACTTCTTTTTCTATTTATCTCTGTACTTTAATCTGCATCTTTTTATGTGAACCTGTAAAAACTGCATTTCCTTATTTGTTTCAATTTATGGATTTATTTTTAATTATCTACTGTTTGTTATTAAACTAGCCGTTATCAGTTGGATCTTGATTCGCCGCAGAGAGCATGGGGCGGTTACGGCTACTTGTTGAATGGCTTCAGCATCATTAATGTATGCAACTGGGTTATGAAACACTGCAAGAAGGTTTGAAATGCTCCATATCATGCACACTCAATCCTGTAATTAATGACCTTTCACGTCATTAATAGGACTATTTCATGGAATCTCTCAGTTATTAGTATGAGTAGATAGTATGAGTTATGGTCAGCCGTTATTTTTTGTTTATTATGGTTCGTTAATATTTCAGTGGATGTGCCTTGAATGCCGTATACCCGTCTGTCAACGTCCCTTTGGATGGCAGTCTGTGCTCAAACACTCATTACGTTCATTTTAAAGATACTTTATCTCAATGCTTCTCCCTAAAGTAATTGTGTGGGCTGTTCACGCGTGTTTTTTTTCCTGCTATTTCAGGGAATTACATTCGATGAGTTCAGATCGTTCTTCCAGTTTCTCAACAACCTCGAGGACTTTGCCATTGCCATGCAGATGTACAATTTTGCCTCTCGCTCCATTGGACAAGGTAGGAAGAGAGCGGGGGGCACAGCGGCTACAGGCACCGAGGGTCTGAGCGTACACACACACAGCTGGTGTGCTCTTTCCCTCTAGCTTGGTGCACAACAAGTGACCGAAAATGATCAAAACAGTTTTTACTCTCTCTCCTACCAGATGAGTTTGCAAGAGCGGTGTACGTGGCCACTGGGCTGAAGCTGACACGGCACCTTGTAAACACCATCTTCAAGATCTTTGACGTGGATCACGATGACCAGCTCTCCTACAAGGAGTTCATCGGCATAATGAAGGACCGGCTGCACAGGGGAGGAAGGGTGAGGAACTGTGTGTGAAAGAAACAGAAGGAGTGTTGCCAGTTTAGAAAAAGCACTCTTAGATGAGTCTCTGTAACAGCTAGGCCGCCGGCTGTTTAAAAGGTTCTTTCCATTCATTGTAAGGATTACAATATACATTGGGATTTTAAAACAGCAATGGCCGTTCTGCCATTGCAAACAAACTCAAGCAAGAAATAAGAAAAGGGGCTCATGTGCACTGGCATCTGCAAAGACTACACCGAATAGAACAATAAGCTGATAAAAGACCATAGGTCAATTTGAATTGAACAGGGATGCAAAGACGTCTAAATATAGACACGGTTGGGTTTTTTCAAGGCCATGCAGGTAGACAGCTTTTCAGGAAGAATCCGGTAACAACATCAATGAATTAATTGAAGTGCTAAAAAATTGGAAATCACCTTGAGCCACTTCATAGTCTTGTTCCCAAGGATGGATACTGCCCTCTAGTGGTGTATTGTGATACAATACTACATTCCAGAGCATCATTTCCAGCAGAAGCGAGACACACACGAGTAGTCAGCTTGTTACAAGTTTGCCTGATATGCCACAAACGTCACTAACATTGCACAGCAGTGAGCCCGATTTATGACCCTATTGGCTCCTTTGGATGCTTTCTTGGCCTCACAGTCTCGGCTTATTAACAGTGATCTCTCTTTCTCTCCCTCTCTCTTTGCTTTGCTTTCATCCTCAATCTCCTCTCTTTTGGACACACTCATCTGTTCTGCCATGGTTCCAACCTGTCCTGTGTTACAACACACCATCTTTTGTCTCCCCGACCTCTTCTCCCTGTGTTTTACCTTCTTCCCCCTTTGCGTCTTTCCTCTAACCACTGACCTCTCAGGGCTATAAATCTGTGGAGCGTGCCACCTCTTTTAAATCCTGTCTGAAGAAGGAGCTGGCAAGCAGATAAGTAACACCCATAACAGAAAGTCGGACACTGTTTTCATCATTTCCATTTTACATCTGGAGTTTATGTACATTTTTTTGTAAAACACGTTAATCACTTATTGGGACGTGACAACAGCATCAGCCAAAATCCTCAGTGACGTTTTCACTTTGCTAGCCAGCTAAGTCTCTCTTTAATAGCCTACACCTCCTTTAGAAATAGATGCCATGTTTAGATTTGTTCATCACACTTTCCAGGCAAGATAACTATTACTTTTAAACTGGTGAATTGTTAAGGTCACTACACAGCGTGCCAGTAGGTGTACAGAGTTGCAACAGTGGGTTCCTCAATGTCTTCGTTTTGGACAGCTCAAAATTATCAAAGTATTTTTCAACTTATTAAATCACTGTCCCTCCCTTTAGCACTTTCATCTAACAAACAGGATGAGATAAAGGAAACACCTCTGAGTTTCTATTTGGTTGTGACTGGAATATTTGTAGCTATAGTATAACAGTTAAAAGAACTGACTTCTGACTCCCTGCATGACTGTGCCTCCCTTTGCTCTGTGTTTACCAGGTGAAGGCCCGACACCACACCTCCTTCTCCGGCTGTGTTCGCTCTGGGGCCAGACGACAAGTGCACCAGCTCTGGAGGAGATACAAAGAGAAGCTGTAGTGGAGAAGAGAGAAAGAAGGCAGAAAAGATATGAAGGACGAAGTCTGATGATGGAGTAAATCAAACTGATCTCTGTATAGTCAGTGGCCTGAGTTAGCGACGTTGTGTTTTCAAGGGCAGATCTCCATTGGTCCTCCAAAGCAGATAATAACTACAAGCATGCCCGCACACAGCAGACTGATGTTCTGTATGATGATAACAAGCAACATCACTCCTTGTTTTCATCTTCATTAATGCCAAGTATGATTTACAGTGTATAACAACAATTTGACTTAACTCTCCACGCATGGCACTTCCTCATGAGTCAGTAAACTACAGCTAACTCTTATTTCTTTTTTGGTTAAGGCTATGATTTAAAAAAAATAAATTAAGCTATGAAAAGTTTAAATGAGCTTACTTATTATAAACAGCTGATAAATGCAAGGTATCGACTTTATAACAATATTATATAGATATAACTAAGCAAGGTACAATATTGTCTAAGTTCTATCAACCAAATGATATTTCACTTAATGAATGACGTTTTAAATGACGTATACAGTATAATATATGCCTTTTTATGTAAGAATACTTAGCTGCACTTCAAACTGTAACAACTGAAAGAGCACAACAGTAATTCAATAACAAAAAATATTTGCATGTAGAGTCTTTTTATTCATCTCAGTACATTTTTTTACTTATTGATCTCATCTAGCCAGTATAATTGTTGCTTTTTAATAATGCATTAAGAGTTTATATAAACACTATTTCTACAGGTGGGATGCTTTATGATCCTAATATTACTACAAGACTGGGGATGTCTTGTATGAATATTTTAACAGTAACAGAAGTATAAAACATGTATATTGATTACGTGAATACTATATGCGATTTATCACCCAATCTTTAATGTTGTAATATATTATGAACCATTGAATATCATTCTTTAATGTCTTGGTGTGAAATATGGAATATTTTGAATATATTGAAATGAAGGAAAGAGTAGGAAATGGAAAGTTATTTCTCATAATGTAAATTATTCTCATCATGTCTGCAATAATGTATGTATTTGTCATGTCAGTGGACCTGATAAATTTACTTTCATGCATTAATAAACTATTTTAAGAAGACATGCCAGAGCCGTAGTGTTGACTGAGTTATGCGCAACGAAACTACTCTTCTATTGATAAGGAGGACATGTTGCCCCTTCATTTGGCGTTACAAATTAAACATTATTCGCAGATAAAGACTGTGCCGCTGTTCCACAGCTGCAAACTGTATCGGTAAGTTTGTTGTCACAAACGTTTGTATTAATTAAGCATCGAGAAAAGGTTAATGGTTAAAGATTAACTCCTATACGACGTAATTATCCACCTTGGTGGTGCTCTCGTCGGTTAGTGAAATGCTGCCCTCGTGTTGTGGGAGCCCATAGTGGGAAACCAACTGCTGGTTTAACAGCAATACTGATGATAAGAGCAGTATTTTACGGTGAAAACGAATGCAGGTATTCGACATGATGTCGCCGTTAGATGTCGCAGACCATTTAGCATAATTAGAGTTGCAACGTTTTACATTTTATATGTCGACGCCTCCGGAAACCTTAAAGCGAGGGGGATCTGGCGTTTGAGTTGTAAACGGAACTAATGTATTTGCCAGGTTTCTGCGCGGAACATTACAAACGACGCACCATTCAGCAAAACGAGAAAAAATGAAACTTAACTAACGTGACTTCAACACTTTAAGTATTGCCTCTGTTGTGCTGTAATGTAGGACTGTAAATGTCCAAACAGCCCGGTCACTTGTAAAGATTCTGACTTGTGCAGTTCTTTAATATCTTCACAAATGAAAGAATGGGCGTCCACGACTCAAATCGCAACGCATTGTGGGTCATACGGCGGACTTTAAAATTAAAATCGACATCTTAAGTGACAGTTTGGATTAAAGTTGTGTTGTCATCGTTGTGTTATGGTTATGCTCTATTTACTACTCTTCAGTGATCGTTTTGGGCATGTGTAACGGCAAAAAACACCATGACTGAGAATGGTTGTCGTGTGAATGACTATCTGTTTTCACCCGTAAGATTGTTAAGACTATACTTTCAGGGATCATTTCTATAGTTCTTGACTTGAGAAATGTGTTTCTAAATTGTTTGGTCTCGCTAACTACGATGATGAGATGTGATATTTCCCACTGAGCGCGAAGCGGGCACAGAGAAGTGATTCAGTTCACACGCTTTCTGCCATTGATGACCGTTCTTTACTTCCTTGTGGAGTTAAGAGGTGGGGAATATGGACAGAGTAGTTACCAGAACATGTAAATATTAAAATCCTGTAGAGAAACACAACCGTTAGTTTAGGCTATATATGTAAAGTTACAGTAGAGGAATTAACAAAAATGGAGTTAACATGCTTAGATTTATATTACTTTAACAGCTAAATCGTGTAATGTTTATGATTCATTCGATGATGTAACACTGCTGCCCTCTAGCGCAGGGGTGGGCAAACGTTTTGGCTCGGGGGCCACATTGAGTTTTAATATTTGACAGATGGGCCGGGCCAGGAGCAAACGAATGGAGTGTTTGTATGAAATAATAGAAATTACAAGTAAAAGCCATGACCTAAAAAGTAACTTGCATTTAATTTCAGCGGGAACAGTGTTGTTGGTCACCCTTTTTAACCAGTGCGTCAACATTTGGTGGCACTTTGGTTGTGGCAATTCTCAGAACAGATCTGAGGTGTTCATCAGTTAGCTGGGATCTCACACGGTATTTTTTATTGCATCGATGCATATTTTATTGTGCACTTACTTATTAAGCAGACATTTTTGACAGTGTTTCTACTGTAAAAGTTAATACCTGTGGTCTTTTCAGCAGTTTCATTCTTTGATGGGATTATACAAACACTTGACTGTCACATCTAACATTATCAGAGCTCTGCTCTGTGATGTCTTTCCTCGTCTCTCCCCCTGTGTCACGGTGTGGGTACATCACACTGGACGTCAGGAAACGTATCAGAATACCCTTATTTTATTGGCTAAACTGCATCACGTGACGTGATTTACAACGCATTGGTCGGTGTTTTTCCTGCATCGCTGAACAAGTGCTGTAAATGCTGGAAAGGAGTGTGAATAACTCCGCTGAATAAAGCAAAGGCCCGCGACCCACTGAAAACGGGTCCGCGATGAACCACCAGTTGAGAATCACTGGTCTACAGGATCATGGAGCGGTGAACAGCTGTTTGTGCTGTGTGTCTTCCGTTTCTTCCTGTTTCCTTCACCTACATTCCCCTGTGTCCTAAGCCCCTCCCTGTACAGCTTCTTATCACCTCTTTGCACCAATGTACATTTATAACAAATACCACACACATTACACGGTAATCAGCGTTACATATGTGTCAAACTCTATCAGTGCATCTCCTGTCTGTCTTTGTTCATCCTGCATCTGGTAAATGTAAGTGGTAAATGTTGAATTAATATTGATAATTATGATTTCTTATGATATAGCAGTGAGGACAGCATTTAATGGTTGCAATGATTAAACATGGTTATATTATCAATTCCAACATTTCCAGAATGTTCATGCCATTTCCAAAAACAAATGTTATAAAGCTCAAAAAATACACTCTCCCTGCTCTCTGAAACATTTATTAAGGATTAATCATACATTTATTAATGAGACATGGGCTATTTAGACAATCTAAATAGAAATGTGTTTCTAAATAGTTTGGTCTTGCTATCCACGATGATGAGATGTGATATTTCCCACTGAGCGCCAAGCGGGCACAGAGAAGTGATTCAGTTCACACGCTTTCTGCCATTGATGACCGTTCTTTACTTCCTTGTGGAGTGAAGAGGTGGGGAATATGGACAGAGTGGTTATCCTATTTTCTGTGTAATTGTAATATTTAATGCTAGATTGTTGGCTATTAATGTCATGTTGTGCAACAAAGGTTTCATCTAAAAACATATTTTGTGTGGTTGATAATCATGAAGCTTATTTATTGAAAAAATATCAAAACAAGCATCAAAGTGTTTGACAGACAGACATAATGAAAGTTTTCACAAAAATATATATTTACAAACACGTGACTAAATCCAAACGAGGTC